ATTTACTAACCACCAACCTGGGCCAGGCACTGCTTCAGGAAAGTTCAACATTGTTTCTTTTAGTCCTTATAAAAAGGACCCTGAAAGGTAAATATTCTTCCTCATTTTTCAAATGAGGCTATAGACTCAGAGAGATTAAGTAACAGTTAAGGTCACACAACAATTAAGTGGTAATGCCTTGACTTGAACCCGTCCATACCTATCAGATTCAGAAACTTCTCCCTATCAGGTAATTAATGCTAAAGCAATATAGAACTTAACATCCCTCTGATGGTTCAAAAGAGTTTAGAAAGGGAGAGGACACTTCTTCTGAGAGAAGGAAGTAAAGGTGGAGGATGGTATAGGTATGTCTAGAAGGGAAAAAAAGGTAAAGAAGTTCATGGTTGATGACCTCTATTAATGAAGAGAATAAGGAATCTGGAAATGAGAAATGAGAAAAGTTGTATTATTTTCATACTACATCTTTAAAAAGAGTAACAACTAATTGCCTAACTAGCCCCCATTTATCTCAATTACTGAGGTCTCACTAATACTCCTTATTTTAGGCAAAAGTCTATACAAATTATTTTCCCTATATTTTTATTTTAAACCCATAGAAAGTTGAGAGAAGAGTAAAAATCACAAACTTGTATATCCTTTATGTAGATTAACGCCCTGTTGTTATTTTGCCTCAAATTGCTCAATCTCTTTCTCTTCACAAGATTTTGGTTGAACCACCTGAAAGAAAACTAGACATGACACTTCTCTAAATAATGTAGCATACAGCTTCTAAGAATAAAATGTTTTCCTACACGACCACAGTAACACATGTAAAAAAAATAAAAAATTCATTAATATCATTTAATATACAGTTCTTATTCAGTTTCCCCAATTGTTCTAAATAACATCTTCTTGAGAAAACATAGGTGATAAGCTCCTTGACATCAGTCTTGGCAATGATTTTTTCGATCTGACTCCAAAAACAAAGGTGACAAAATTAAAAAACAACAACAACAAATAGGACTATATTAAAAAAAAACCTGCACAGCAAAGGAAACCATTAACAGAATGAAAATGCAACCCACTGAATGGGAGAAGATATTTGCAAATGATATATCCAATAAGGGGTTAATATCCAAAATATATAAAGAAGTTATACAACTCAATACCAGAAAAACAATCCAATTAAAAATGGGCAGAAAACATGAATAGATATTTTTTCCAAAGAAGACACACAGATGGCCAACAGACATGAAAAGATGCTCAGCATCAGTCATCATCAGGGAAATGGAAATCAAATTCACAATGAGATATCACCTCTACCTGTCAGAATGCCTATTATCAAAAAGATAAATAACAAGGGTTGGCAAGAATGTGGAAAAACAAGGACCCTCATGCACTTTGGTGGGGATGTAAGTTGGTGTAGTCACTATGAAAAACAGTATGGAGGTTCCTTAAAAAATTAAAAATAGAACTACCAATGAACCAGCAATTCCAGTACCATGTATTCATCTGAAGAAAATGAGAACACTAATTTGAAAAGATATACATGCCCTTTGTTAATTGCATCATTATTTACAATAGCCAAGATATGGCCCTAATCTTTAGTGTCCATTGCTGGATGAATGGATAAAGAAGATTTGGAACACAGAGAGGAGGTGGATGGGGGGATGGGTGAAATAGGTGAAGGGGAGTAAGAGTACACTTATCATGATGAGCACTGAATAATGTACAGAAATTGTTGAATCACTATATTATACACCTGAAACTAATACATCATTAATTATACTGGAATTAAAAATTTTTTAGAAAAAGAAGATTTGGTATACACACACACACACACACACACACACACACTGGGATACTACTCACCCATAAAAAAATGAAATCTTGCCATTTGTGACAACAAGGATGGAACTAAAAGGTATTATGCTATGTGAAATAAGTCAGACAAAGACAAATACCATATGATTTCACTTATATGTGGAATCTAAAAAACAAATGAACAAACAAAACAAAACTCATAAATACAGAGAACAGCACAGTGTTTGCTAGAGAGGGGAAGGCAAAATGGGTGAAGGGGGTCAAGAGGTACAAACTTCAATTATAAAATAAATAAGTCATGGGGATGTAATGTACAGCATGGTGACTATAGTCAATAATACCGTCGTGTATACTTGAAAGTTGCCAAGAAAGTAAATACTAAAATTTAATATCACTAATCATAAGAAAACAATCAGACATTCTACAGGTAGAGACATTTTGGAAGATAATGTAGTATTCTTATAAAAAAAGTTTAACTGAATAAAATCAAAAAATAATCAGACACTCTATGTGTAATACATTGTGAAATGTAATTGGCGTGGGACTTTTTAAAAAGTCAGTCATGGGAAACAAAAAAAATTCCAGAAAAATTTTTTCTGTAATTCTGTATGGTGATGGTTGGTAACTAGACTTATTGTGATGATCATTTCACAGTGTATATAAATATTGAATCATTATTTGTACACCTGAAACTAATATAGTGTCATAGTTCAATTATATCTCAATAAAAAATAACAAGAAAGGAAGGCAGGCAGTAAGAAAGGAAGGCAGGCCAGGAAAGAAAGGGGGAAAGAAAGTGAACGAGAGAATGAAAGAGAGAAAGAACAAAAGAATGAAAAAAAGAAGGAAAGAAGAGAAGAGAAGAAAGTCTTCTTGGTTTTGATCCAGTATCCAAAATTAACATAGTAGACTTAATTGTTATGTTTCTTTTAATCTGAGACAATCCCCTTAACTTGGTTTTGAATTTTTTTTGTTTCCCATGACTGACTTTTTAAAAAGTCCCACGCCAATTATGTTTCACAATGTGTTACACATAGAGTGTCTGATTATTTTGTGATTTTATTCAGTTAAACATTTTTTATAAGAATACTACATTATCTTCCAAAATGTCTCTACCTGTAGAATGTCTGATTGTTTTCTTATGATTATATTCAGATGAACCAGTTTTGATAAGAATATTACATCTATGATATTATATATTTCCTATCATGTCAGATCAAGAGGCACATGGAGTTATCCCACTATTAGTGATATTAAATTTTATCACTTGGTTAAAGTGGTACTTGTCAGATAGTTCTGTTGTAAAGGCACATTTTCTTCTTTAAAATTTTTAAGTAATGTGTGGAGTGATACTTTTGAGACCATGTAAATATCCTGTTCCCCAACAATCTTAAACTCAGTGGTATTAGCATTCACTGATGACCTTTGCCTGAATCATCGTGATGCTGGGGAGGCAAAATTGTGGCTTTCTCACTAAACTGTACAATTAAAATGGGTGAAATTGTGCTCGCTTCGGCAGCACACATACTAAAATGGGTGAGATTTATGGTACGTAAATTATACTTCAATAAAACTGTTTTTTTAAATTAACTCAGTAACATGCAATCTGTATTTAGTCCATTCCTTCTAGCATATTTTTTCTGCCAAGAAATGACTGACAGCTGAAACATTTTATAAATGAGGCAAGGTATTCAAGATCAGGGTAAGCTTAATAAAAATGCTCTGTTGAAATTTTTTTAATTGTCGTTCTCTAATTCTATCATTCTCTCCACAATTATTAGCTGGCACACTTCTATAAAGGCTTTTCCCTGCACTTCCCATTTCTCTCTCTCTCTCCCTCCCCCTCCCCATGCTCTCCCTCTCCTCCTCCCTCTCCTATCACTGCAGATTCATGGATTTCCCCCGCTCAGTGTATTCTAATAATCCATTACTGATATTCTTTTTGATGTTCAAACCATCTTAATTTGGCCAATAGAAGCCCATTCAAGCACAATCTTGTGTCCTGATATAACACCATTAGTTTTGAACAATCTATTTCCTTGTATGAAAAGTTCCCGGGGTGCCTGGGTGGCTCAGTCGGTTAAGCATCTGACTCTTGATTTCTGCTCAGGTCATGATATCAGGGTCCTGAGATCAAGCCCCAGGTCAGGCTCTGTGCTGAGCATGGAGCCTACTTAAAATTCTCTCTCCCTCCCTTGCCTTCTGCCCCCCTCCCACATGCTTGTACTCTCTCTCTCTCTTTCTCTCTCTAAAAAAATAAAAATAAAAAATAAAAAAGTTCCAAACTCACCCTGTACATTCCCTGCCTGAAACCTGAGATTAGATATTTCCCCGAGAAGCCTTGGTTATTTTTAATGGGGATGGTTTTTAGAAACCAAGATTTAAGCGCTTGATGTGCTGTTCATTGCTACCGGGGTTAGTCATTGCTTCTTGGCCCTTTCTATAAACAGAACAAGGGAACAGGAAGTCATACTAATATTTGCATCAAATTTACAATACAAACAAAAAAGAAGGAACAGAATAGTATCTTCTATTTTATCTTGTCTTCCATTATCATCACTATCCTTATGCCTCTGCTTTATCCTACAACATATAGGATGGCAATAATATCATCATATTAGAATATATATAAACGTAATATAGTATAATTCTGAAACTAAAAATAACCTATTAAGAAAGTTTAAGATTTCTTTGCAGTTCTTTCTGTCCTTAAATTATATATTAGTAAGAATGTACTATCAAGAACACCATGTTCAAAAGTTATCTGAGCCGGGTGATGTTATAGTTACACAGGTTTGTTTGGTTTCAGTTTGTATGTATTCAATTTTAGCATTTGTCTTTCTTCCCAGTATTTTTGGCTTAATTCTAGTTTTTGAGTATTTAAACTTTTATGTGGGCCAAAAATCAAAACTATATTAAGAGGTATACATAGAGAAGTCCTGCTTCTGTCCCTATCTCCCCCACCTCATTCCTATACAGCCCCTATTTTCATTAGTTTCTAGTTTATTCTTACTGTGTTCCATTTTATAAAAACAAGCAATTACAGTTCTTCAGAATTAATGTATACATACTGTAAGTTAAGTAATACCCCTATGACCAAGCTCTCATTTGAGGGTGGTCATGGTGTACAAAACCTGACTTGTGTCACATTTTCTACTTGTAGTAACAGATAGCTTCACATACAAATAAACTCCCACCTGAATTCCGATTAATCCACTGTAGAGAGTCCATATGAGCATTCAGGATCTTGCAGATCTGCTGAAGCTAAAAACACATACAAAATTTTTAATTATGATAATCCTGATATGGTAAACAAACATAAAAAATTGAAATTAGGAAGTGACTTTTCATTTCTTTTGGTAAGAAATGGACTGAGGATATATAAAGTATTAATGGCTTTTTTTGCTATTTCATATTTGTAATGCTCATTACATCTTTCTATTATTTCAATCTATTTTGCAACTGTCAAGAATTTGATTCCCGTAATTCAGTAAGACACTGACTACTACAGTACAAATATAAGTTAAAAAAACACTAAGAGACGTTTCACAAGACACAAAATTCATATAAAATTTAAAATACTACTTTTTTCAACCAAATCAGCAATTTTTTGTTGAGGTATAATTGACAAATAACATTCTATTAGTTTCAGGCATATAATGTAATGGTTTGCTATTTGTATATATTGCAAAATGATCACCACAATATGTCTTGTTAACATCTATCACCATATGTAGTTAAAAACTTTTTTCTCTTGTGATAATAACATTTAAAGATCTAATTGCTTAGCAATTTTCAAATATGCAATACAGTATTAACAATAGTCGCCATGCTGTACATGACATCCCCATAACTTATTTTATACCTGAAAACTTGTACCTTTTGACCACCTTCACTCATTTCACCCACCACCCAACCCCTGCCTCTGGCAACCACCAATCTGTTCTCTGTATCTATGAGCATGTATTTTTGGTGTTGGTGTTTTTAAATTCCACACATAAGTGTGATCATATGGTATTTGTCTTTCTCTGTCTCACTTATTTCACTTAGCATAATGCCCTCAAGGTCCAACCATATTGTTGCAAATAGCAAGATTTCCAAGTCAGCAATTTTTAATAAATGGTAATACTCAGTTGTCAACTGTGTGGAGAAAATAGGTACATTCTTATACAGCCTAGAGTAATAAAAATTGACCCAACCCTTCAAAATGTAAATTTTTACAATATATATCAACAGTCTTAAAATATTCATACCTTTTAACTCAATATATTCTACTTCTAGGAACCTATCCAGAGGAAATAATCAGATCTAAACATAACTGGTCAGTACAGAGTAACTGTATAATGGCAAAAAATTGGAAACAGTCTCTCCACCAATTTAAAACAGTAATTCAATATATTATGGTAAAGTCACCTCTAATGAAATACTATAAAGTCATAAATATTTTCAAAGATTTCCAGTTTTCAAAGAATGCTTAAAATTTTGAGAAAACACTGCGAAAGAATATGAAATGAAGACAGAATACAAAACTCCATGTACGTATGCTTCCAATGCTATTTAAAACAAAAGGAGAATTTTTACCAGCATAGCAAAAAGACTTGGAAAAAATATAGCAATATCTTAGCAGGGTACTGGTAATAGAGGTGATTTAATTTTCTTCAGAGATTTCCGTATTTTCCAAGCTTAACACATTGAGTAAGTATATGTATTAACTTTGTAATGAGACACACTAGACATTTAAAATTTTTTAGAATACTTTTGAAGACTATTCTAGTAAAGTCCAGGATAATAATGAAAGTAGGAGGAAATGAAAATGTTACCACACTTAAAAGAACAGTATGTAATGAAAACAGAAATTTCGTGTATTTTAACATAACAAATAGAAATACAACTTGTAGTAGGAACAATGAGTTTTTGTAAGAAAATGTAACTGAAGACCATATACCACAATATGGATCTGCTTAATAAAAATTTTAGGTGTTAGGTAGTCTCTCCCATCTCCCCCACACTCCCCTACCCTCTACCCCATCCCCTACCACCGCCCCTGCATACAAACAGTAAAAATAAACGGGTAAATCCCAACATTGTGAATACTGTTAAACACTGTGGCTATTTTTCTACCCTGGTGTATGGCCCACAGTAAGGAAGCTTTGTTGATCTGGTTACAATAAATTATCTTCAAGAATATTATTGTTCAGCAAATGTTTTCTCTGCTTCTTGCCCAGTGATTTATGCTATCTGAGAAAAGAGATGAATTGTTGCTGATCTCTTGCTTCTTTTGCCCTGCTATCGAGCAGCAATTATCTTTAATTCACTGGTCTTAAACATCTCAATCACCCTTGTGAGGAAAAACAAAAACAAAAGACTCACACCATTTACTCCCCACTACCAAAATAAAACAATCCAAGGCTAAGTAGAAAAAAAGGATAAGGATAGGATTACAGTCCCTTTTTACTTACTCTGTTCAGAAGGTTTTCTTATTTTATTTCAACACAGAGAGACTAGATTTCAGCTCTGCCTCATGTCTAAATCTGCATGTATTTATTTATGCATAAAAATTCTTTTATAAAATAATTGTGGACTTTATAATCACAATGGTGAGCTAATATTTCATAAAAAGAAAACTTATATTCTGTCAACTCTTGATCATCTATGTGAACACAAGGAGATGGCAGCATGGATAATCCCAGACTAATTTATATTTGTCTTTGTTCAGTTTTAGATTCACCCAAAGTAAAGAATGGCATAATTTTTATAGCTAGAGGGGACTTCAAGATCATTTAAGTCCACCCTTGACATTTTGCAAAAGAAGGAGCTAAGATCCAGAGAGATTAAGTGACTTAAATAAAATTCTAAGGCTTTCTCAATTATACCATGCTGTCTCTTTATAATTAAAAAAGCTAGTAATGTGTACATAGATAAAGAACTGTCTGTATGATTGGACAAAGAGCTTACTAAAGAATAATCACGATATATATTCTTTGTCCTCACCTACCCAGATCCTGGCCCCACTCTGAATTATACTCAACAGACAGAGAGTACAATGGGAGTTCCTACAATGGGAGAGTCCTCTTACCATTACTGCCAGGGAGTGAGAGAGGGGAAAAAGGAGAACTCCCATTTAGTTGCTAAGACAATTGGGAAAGGTAGAGGAAAATAAGCTCTTTAATTAGAGCACAGATAAAGGGGAAAAGTACCAATCCTTTCTTATGGCCAAATTAATTCAAAACATCTCAACTCTCTAATTGGAACCTCAGGTTTATTTTCCCATGCTAAAATACACTGACATTATGAGGTAGGTAGATTGTACGAGGCAGGTGGAAACCTAATAACAACATCTAACAAAGTTTCTATGGAAAAATATATTTTAAGACTCAAATAGTTGACTTATCAAACTTTTAAGACATAACCCAGTCATAAGTTAAGGATTGCCTGGATATACCTAATAAACCCAAACATATATACTCACAATTATATGAATCCATAGAAAAACATGTAAAAGGAAGAATGAATTAGCCAATGAGTAAGGGAACAGAAAAGTAAGTACAGGGACATATTTAGCTATGTGAAGAACAGGGAGAAAACCCTGAACATTTAAGGAAGAAAGTCGTCTTTTTTTTTTTTTTTTTTTACCCTCCTGAGAATAATCACAAAAAACTCAAACTTTTCTGCTCCTAAATCTTTCCTGCCCCACTTAACCATACCCCAAAGTTCGTATCTGTAGAGGCAGGTAAGGAGCACAAGAAGACAGGAGAACGCAACTAGCTAAAGGAACTCACAGAATGCTAATTTCACACTAAAATCTTGGTTGTCTAAAGAGATAAAGCAGTTTACACACCGGGTCAGTAGTGTCAGCAGGACTTCCAAATGTATTCAGGTGCTCGATAATGTCCTTGAGATCTTGGGCCATTCGTTTCAGCTGAGCATCTATATTTTCTGCTAATTTGTAACTGAAAAAGCAGGTAAAATAAAGAGATTAACAAGAAATGCTTTCGCCACTATGTCTCGTTACTGATGTACAAATATGATCCTGCCAGCTGGATTTTCACCAACTCCCCCTGCCTTATAAGTAGGTCTCAGTTATGACAAATGGCACATTTTTATGTAGGCGGCATTCATGACCTTATTATGACCATATTCTAAAAAGACTCCATAGGTGAAGGCTTTTAAGCATCTCGGCATTTTTTATAATCACCTGTTTACCCTCTGGATAATGTCCTGGGGAGCTCTGAAGCAACGAAACTCTTTTTAGCTCTTACAATGAACTCATAAGACATTTAGCTACATAAGAAGTTATTCGGTGTTTAGGAGTATTCGATAAGTGCTGAGATGTCTTCAATGATTTTAAATACGTAAATTTTCAAAGTAAAACCTTATATAAATATACTCCATCATCCAACAAAAGATGTTTTGAGAAATGAGTTTAACAATAATCAAAGGCAGATAAATCTGCTAAGTTCATAGCAAATATTAGTTGGCTACATTCTCAAGATTTCCACCTGAACTATTTACACACATATATACATACACACTTAACCTAGTCAATAATATGTTTATGAATTAAAGTGATCAGAGTTTTTCAACCTTAATGTCTATAAAGATTAAAGGATTCAATGAGATTTATTGATAACTACCTATTGCCTTTCTGTCCCAGAGTATTTAAAGGTAATTGGTTACCTTGATTGGTGAAGATCCTACTAAAGATTCCATCACAATATAAATCTGACTACATAAAAACAGTTGGAAAGAACTGTTTCATTATTCCTTCAAACTACAGTTAGGTACTCATGGCCAAAGTGTAAGTCTCTAGGTTTCAAAAAATGATAGAATGCATAGAAAGCAATGCAAAGAAAAAAAAAAAAGATTCACAAAGGCCGAAATACAAAAGCAGAAATAGAACTAGGATCCATACAGATTAGCCTTACTTAGCATATTTAATGCACCTACAAAAAAGTTAATTTGCAAGCCTTCAGAAAATAAGCTCAGTCTTAACTCACTAATAATCCAGTACCAAAGGGAGTCTGATTTGGTCTCAGTCTGGTTTATGTAGCACATTCAGACAAGTTTTCCTAATAATACTTTATTATTTGGCCTGATTACCAAATTTCAGTTCTGGAGAGATAAAGTTACTGTGGGGACACTTGATAATATTATCAACAAAAAGACTGAATCTCACACACACACACGAAAAAATATATTCAGCCCAAGACATTGACAAAATCATTCCATTTTTGAAAGCTATGCAGTCTGCCCCCAGATTAACAAATTGCCTTTAAAATAGCCAAAGATTTATCACTGAAGCAACTGCATGAACATTAGGTTTAAAAGAGTCAATATAAACAGGAGACCATAAATATCCCACGATACTATGACACCACACACATAAAACTTGTATTTCTAATTTAAGAACAAACTTGACAAATACAAAAACTTTACGGTGGTCATGTATAAGCTTGAGATTAATAAGTGTACAAAATGCTATAAAACAAAACTGCCAGAATGATTACTTCATTTTCAAGCATCCTGAAAAGTTAAACGGAAAACACCCAAATAAGTTGATAAATGGCAACTACAAGAATTTGTCCTTTTCTACCAATTTTTATTCCCTGCCCTTCAATTCTATTTTTTCCCTTTTTTTTTGAAGTAGCTAAGTTTTGTCCCATTCCTTGACGTTACTTACGTCTTTCCATGCCCCTCATCTGCATGCTGCAGATAAGCAGACCCACTCTGGTCCTTCACAAACTCCTCTAAAGGGGTCAAGAGATCTTCCAGTTCCTTCTGCTGTGACAGGATAAAATCCAATTCTTGTTCCAGCCTAAAAAAAAACCCAAGTCAATGGAAGGGCCGATGAAAGGAATTTGGAGTGTCAAAATAAATGTCAAAAATTACAACAAGGAAAAAAGAATGGACAAAGAAATAGATCTTTAATCTTTCAACCTAGGGAGTCTAAGGTTCTACCTCTGCTGATCCAGTTTCACTTTTTCCACTTCTCCATGTAAAGTAGTAATCTATAAAGGAAAACAAGAATACGATAATGTAAATATTTGAATTTATGTTGTAATTTTAAGCCAATATTAATTTTCTCATATACACTTCAAATATGAACAATTTCCTAATTCAGGACACTCATTACAAAGGAAAATATTTTTCAGTTGATCACCAATATTGGGATAGAAAATTAACCACAAAACACAGGTCTGTGTACAATGCTCTTGTACAACGCAGGTAGATTAATGAGACTTTGAAAATACTTGTACAATACAGGTAAATTAATGAGACTATCTTCTTACCTTCTCACCATTTTCAATCAATGTACGGTCCCAAGCATTGACCTGAGCGGACTGGTGAAGAAAGTACTTCTCTTGATCCTCTAAATCAAGGCTCCATTTGTTTATCAGACCCTCCAGCTGACCATATGTCATCACGGGAGTTACAATTGCACTAAAAAAAGGATACAGTAAGATCATATGATCACATTTTTAAAAGTATAACTGTATTTTTTAAATGAATAACATAGGAGGAGTTAGAGAAGAAAATATCACATGAGTTTTTCAGACCTGCTCCCCAACAAAACCAGCAGAGGTGGTCAAGATTATTTTAAAAACAACCATTTCAAAATCTTTGGAAATTACCCTAAAGGAATATAGCAAATAAAAAAAAGATCTATTAAGAAATCTACCAAATTTCAGTAAGAACAGCTAAAGTCTGTGCCACAGCTGCTCCCTTCCTTTGCCCTCAGCTCAGCATGATGCAAGCTCCATCTTGGGTGCATGTGGCCACAGATAGGACTCCCTCTCCCCATAGCTTTTAGTCAAAATGATCCATTCCCAATCTAAGTAGCATCCACAAAACAGAGTAGGCAGCTGATCTTCCATCCTCCACTGGGCAGAACCAAGCAGAACTCTGATTCCCCTACTAGGTAGTATCAAATAGGCTAAGCAGGTAGCTGATTTTCCAGCCCGTGACTGGCAGAACCAGGCAATGCTCTGATTCCTTTGCTGGGGCAGTGTCAGCAGAGAGGTAATCACCAATTCTCTGCTCAGTAGAGGCAAGTAGTGTTCTCTTTTCTCTACCAGGGTTCTGTCAGCAAGGGCCAGAGACAAGATAAATCTAAACACCCACCCAGCGGCAATAAGACTTAATAAAGCAGAGCGAGAAAGGATTAGTTACCGTTAGGCTTCACCGCTTGTCTTCAGTGTCAGTGGGACCCAATGGGGAGCTTAACCTCTATACCCACCTGGCATCACTGAGACTGAACAAAGTAATGCAAACTGGAGCTAGTAAGGACTCCACTTCCCACAACCCGGGTGTCAGCAAAGCTCAGTGCGGAGCTTAACCTCCACACCGACTGGAGAAATCAAGACTGAATGAGGCAGGGCAAAGCAGGGCTAGTCAGCACTCTGACCCCCTTTCTCCGCAAAGCCTGTGTCACTGAGACCCAGGAGGGAGCTAAGCTTCCATACCAAACCAGCATCAAAAGGTTGAATGAAGTGATAAAAGGCAGAATAGTTGATATCCTGCTTTCTCACTCCTTTTGTGCCAGTGGTGCCCCAAAGGAAGTTGAAATTCTGCCTCTACCCTGCAGCAACTAAGCAGTATGAGTTAGTACCCTACTTCCTCTTGTTCTGGGGTCCCAGGGACCCAGCTGAGGGCTGAGCTTACATCCCCACTTGAGGCAATGAAGTGGTATGACCCATTGCCCCACTTTCATGGGGAATGAATCAGCAGGGCTGAGGGGGTAGCTGAACTTCCATACCACTCATGTGCACTGAGGCTTTACTTGTACTGGGGTGGTATGGGCAGGGTCTAGTAGGAAGCTGAAGATACAAACATGCCCAACACTTGTACTATACCCCAACAAAAGGATTACTTGATTTGAAAAAAAGACTCCCCTAACATAATAGACATAAATGTCCAGAATACAACTGAAAATTATCTGTCCTATCAAGAACCAGGAAAATCACAACTCAAAAGAGAAAAGACAATCCAAAGGCACTGACAGTGAGAGGTATCTAGACATTGGAATTCTCTGAAAAGAATTTTAAAGCAACCATCAAAAAATACTCCAATAAGCAATTATGAATTCTCTAGAAACAAATGAAAACTAGAAAATCTCAGCAAAGAAACCGGTTATGAAAAACAATCAAATGGAAATTATAGAACTGGAAACTAATATAACTGAAATAAAAAGTTCACTTAGAGGGTTTGATACTAGAGTGAAGATGACAAGGATAGAATCAACAAACTTGAGAGTAGATCAATAGAATTTACAGAACAGCAAAAAGAAAAAGACACAAAAAATGAAAAAAAAATCTAAAGAACCTAGAGGACAATAATAAAAGAGGTAACATTTGTACCATCGGAAGATGATAGATTAGAGAGGAAAAGAGAAAATGGGATTGAAAAAGTATTCTGAAAAATAAAGGTGAAAACTTCCCAAATTTGGCAAATGACATAAATCTACAAATTCAAGATGCTGAGCAAACCCCAAACAGAATAACTCAAAGAAATCTGCACTAAGACACATAATACTTAAATTTCTGAAAACTAAAGATAAAGAAAGAAAAAAAATCTTGAAGGTAGCCAGAGAGAAACAACACATTACTTAAAAGGTAATACCAATTCGAATGACAGCATATTTCTCATCTTAAACCATGGAGGCTAAAAGGAAGTGTCACAACATTTTTCAAGTACTGAAAGAAAAAAAAAACTATTGACCACAACTTCTCTATCTGGTGAAAATGTCCTTTAGAAATGAAAGGAAAACAAAGATATTCCCTTGCAAGATTTTTTTGTTGCTGGCAAACCTACCCTCGAAAATTGGCTAATCAGGAAAAAAAAAAATTAAAACAGAAGAAGGCTTGGAACTTCTTAAAGTAAAGTCAAAATGAACAAAAAGGATAAATATAATAGACTATCCTACTTCTCATGAATTTTTTAAGTCATATTTGATGGCTGAAGCAAAAGGTATAACACCACATAATGTGGTGTTCAATGTACACAGAGAAATACTTGAGACAATTAAACTTAACAGGTAAGAAGAGTTAAGGGAGCTAAATGGAATTACCAAAGTGGTAAAATGTCAACATGACTAGACTATTAGAAGTTACATATGTATACTGTAATACCTAAAGCAACTAGTAAGAAAATTATACAAAGCAATATACTCAGAAACACTATAAAAATAGAAAATGGAACCCTAAAAAATGTTTGAGTATCCCACAGGGAAATTAAAAATCAAAAGAAAAACAAAAACAGAAGTAACAAAAGACAAATAATAAAAGAGCAGACTTGAGCCCTAACATATCAGCAATTAGCTTAAATGTAAATGTGCTAAATATACCAACTAAAAGGCAGAAATTGGCAGAGTGGATAAAAATTATGATCCATCCGTATGCTATCTACAAGAAACTCATTCCAAATACAAAGACACAAACAGGTTGAAAGTAAAGCAATGGAAAAAGATATACATGCAAGATTAAATTTTTAAGAGATGGCTATATTAATACCAAATAAGGTCACTTCCTTAGAGCAAAGAAAATTACCAAAGAGGGACATCGCATAATGATAAAGGAATCAAAGCGCCAGGGAAGGCCAACAATCCTAAACGTGTAGGCAACCAAATAGCAGAACCTCAAAATACGAAAAGCAAAACAGATAGAGCAAGGTAGAAACAGAGGATTTCACAATTCTAGTTGGGGACTTCAAACTGCCACTCTCCACAACTAAAAGAAGTAATAGAGAGAAAAGCTGCAAGGATACAGATCTGAAAATACAATGAAGTAGGAACTCATCATCATATATAAAACACTCCACCCAATAGCAGAAAACACAACTTTCAGGTGCCCGTGGAACAGCCATCAAGAAAGACTCTAACTTCTTTATAAAACGAACCTGAACAAATACAAAATGACTCAAGTCATACACAGCATGTTCTCCAACTATAATAGAATCAAATTAGAAATCGATATTGAAAGAAAACAAGAAAATCTGTAAGCACTTGGAAATTAAACAACATACTTCTAAATAATCTATGGGTTAAAGAGGAATTCATAAAGGCAATTTGAAAAGTAGACAGAATTGAATGAAAAGGAAAATAAAACATGATAGAACATGTGGTACACACAGGGGCACTTGGGTGGCTCAGTAGTTTAAGCATCTGACTTCGGCTCAGGTCATGATCTCAGGGTCCTGGGATCAAACCCCACGTCAGGTTCCCCGCTCAGCGGGGAGTCTGCTTGTTCCTCTCCCTCTGCTCCTCCCCCCACTCATGTGTTCTCTCTCTCTCTCCCTCACCCTCTCTCTCTCCACTAAATAAATGAAATCTTTTTTTTTTTAAAAAAAGGACATGTGGTACACAGCTAATGCAATGGTGAGGATATTTATAGCATTAAATGCTTACATTAGGAAAAGGGAAAGGTCTCAAATCAATAATCTAAGTTCATACCTCAAGAAACCAGAAGAAGAGCAATATGAACCCAACACAATCAGAAGGAAAGAAATAATAAATAGTCGATATCAATGCAATTGAAAATGAAAACAATAGAGAATAATCAGTGAAACAAAAGCTACTTCTTTGGGAAAGGATGAATAAAATTGATAAAAGAAAGGTACAGAACACCAATATAAGAAATGAAACAGCTATTAAAAGCGCAAAGAGCAAATACTACAAACAACTTTATAGTCATAAATTCGACAATTTAGAAAACCAAACCAATTCCTTGAATACCACACACTACTAAAACTTATCAGAGATGAAACAGATAATGAATAGTCCTAGAACCATTAAAGAAATTGATTTGTAACTTAAAAGCTCCCAAAAAAGAAATACCCAGGCCCAGAGGTTTCATTGGAGAATTCTGCCATACATTTAACAATTTTTATACAATTTTATACAATTCCTTCTATAAAACAGAAGAGGATACTTCCCAGATCATTTTATGAGGCTAGTATTATTCACATATCAAAAATGAAGACAGAATAAAAAATGAAAGAAAACAAAACTATGGACTAATATCTCTCATGAACTTAAATATAAAAGTCCTCAAGCAAAATACTAGCAAACTAATCTAAAAATGTATAAAAAAAAATTATACACCATGACCAAGTAGAATTTATCCTATGTATGTAAGGCTGCTCAACATCTGAAAATCAATCAGTGTAATTCACCATATCATTAAGCTAAAAAGGAAAATTCCTAAAATATTGTATCAATTGAGGCAGAATAAACATTTGACACAAATATGTCCGATTGATTTTTGACAAAGGTGTAAAAGTATTTCAATGGAGGAAGTTGAAGACTGCCTTTCAACAAATGAGGCTGGAAAAATTGGACACCCAAGACAAAAAAAAAATGAACCTTGCTCTAAAACTCACACTTCATACAAAAATTAACTCAAAGTGGTTCCTGATTTAAATGCAAAATGTAAAACTGTAAAATTTTTAGAAAAAAACAGAATCTTTGGTATCTGGAGTTAGGCAAAGATCTCCTAAACTTGACATTAAAACATGGTCCATTAAAGGAAAAATTGATAAACTAGACCTCATCGATTAAAAGTTTTTGTTTGGCAAAGTACCCTCTTAAAAAGACAAAAGGACAAGTTATAGATTTAGAGAAAATATTTATGAACCACATATCTGACAAGACTGAACCTAGAATATATAAAACTCTCAACACTTGAAATTAAAAAAAGAAATTCAAGTAGAAAACAGACAAAAGACATGACATAAACAGACATGTCACCAAAGAGGATATGCTGGTGGCAGATAAACACATAAAAAGATGCTCAACATCATGAGTCATCAGGGAAATGCAAATTAAAACCACAATGAGATAACATTTCACATCTATTAGAAGGGCTAAAATAAAAAATTGTGACAACACCAGATCCTGGGGAGAAGGTGGACAAGCTGGATCCTTCATACATTGCTGTCAAGTGTGTAAAATGGCACAGCCACTCTGGAAAAGAATTTGGCATTATCTTAAAAAAAATAAACATGCAACAATTCTACCACCCAGTAACTGCACTCTGGGCATTTATCCCAGAGAAATGAGAATTACATTCACACACAAAAAAACAAAAAACAAAAACAAAACAAAACAAAAACAGCTTTATTCATAATAGCCAGAAACTGGAGACAACTTAGAAGTCCATCAACAAGTGAACTATAGTACATCCACAATACCATGGACTACTACTCAGAAATAAAAAAGAACAAACTATTGATGCACATGACAAACTTATCTCAAGGAAGTATGACTAAAAAAAAAAAAAATAATGCCCAAAGATCACACAATATAGGATTTATTTCTGTAACATTTTTAAATGTCAAGATTATAGAAATGGAGAACAGATTCATTGTTGCCCAGGGTCAGGGAAAGGAGGGATTGGTAGTAAGTGTGGCTATAAATGGGCAACAGGAAGGATCCTCATGATGATAGAACTGTTCTATCTTGATCGTATCACTGTACCAATAGCATTGCAATATGTTATTATTGGGAGATACTAGGTAAGGGACACAGAATTTTTTGTATTATTTCTTAGAAGCACATGTGAATCTACAATGGTCTCAAAATAAAAGGTTTAATTAAAAAAAATCAATTAGAGAAGAACATGGCACAGATTCTAAGAATATAGCCTCTGGAGTTCAACTGCCTGAATTTTAATCCTGGCTCTACCATTACCAGGGGCACAGTATAAAATTTCTACGTGCTCCAGTTTTCTCATCTATAAAATGGGAACAAAAATAGCACCTACCTCATAGAGTTATTGTGAGGATTAAATGACATGATGTTTGTAAAGCACTGTCACATTGCTAAACATATAGTAATTGCACAGTAAATGTTAGCTGTTATTAGTAATAGTAATAATCATATTATGATGGTAATAAAACAAAGGTGTGCTATTAATCGTTCCACTTCCTGAGCTACAGAAATCCTTTATCTGCTCCTTCGACTGAGTCATTTACCTAACTTTCAAACACTATTCTAAAGCTATACAAGCAAATTATACCTTGTGCATGATAAATAAAATGAAATTCACGAAAATTTTCAAGGAAACAGGCTTACTTAACAGTCGAAGTAAATGGTAGGGAATTAATACCGACTGGAACAATGTTATTAATCCCAGATGATGTCAGTGACCTTAGGTTCAAGGTAAAGCCACTGGTGGTTGTGGTAGTAGTGGTGGTGGTGGTGACAGTGGTGGTGGTCGTCGTTGATGCTGTAGCTGGAAAATAAAATGCACGTTAGTAAGAAATGAGAGATTTATTTTATTTAGTCCTTGATCATTCAGGATAAAAGCTAGAGAAACATTTTTTAAAATGTGAGATTTAATTCAAAGTTGTGTGGATTAGCACTCAGCACTGTTGTAATAGGAAGTGATATACAGCAGGCCAGACATCTGGATTAACTTTTCCGCTAAAAATTAAAAGTCCTGGATGTGTGTGTAGAAAAAGAAAATTTACAACTTAACCAGACCTATAATCATTAAAGAAATTGAATCAAACCTCAAAACTCTTCCCATAAACAAACCTCCAGACCTAGATGATCTCACTGACAAATTCTACTAAACTTCTAAGGAGAGAATAATAACAATCTTATACAAACTCTGTACATACATATCTTTGCATACTTACATGAATATTTCTGTGTAATTAATTCCTAGAAATGAAGTTGCTGGATCAAAGGGTCAGCATGCTATAAATTTTAATATATCTTGCCAAATTGCCCAACCAAAAAGATTTTGCCAGTTTACATTTCTATCAGTAGGGCAGAGTCCCTGTTTCTCTATGTTAGAGCCCATACTGTTTCTCTACAATATAGCCCATACTAGGCATATATCTTCGCCAGTCTAATAGAAAGAAAGCCTCTCAAGGTTTCATCTACAGCCCAGACCTCTCTCTTATGTGTCTTTTTCCATTGTACACCTACTAGAAAACCTAGCCCTCTCTAGAGGACATCCTCACTATATTTCATGGCCTAACTCACATTCTTCCTTCCCCCATATTTGCCACCCACTTCTCTTCTACTCCATCATTATCCCTTGGTTTTCTGAACTTCCCATAGCACTTTTGGTTTTTCCTACACACTGAGCACTTAAAAATTCATAGAAAACTGGCTGGTGGGAACTGCAAATGTTTTCTTCTTTTTGGTTCTCTGTGTTTTCAAATGTTCTTGGTAATCAATAGATGCTGCTTCTGTAACAAGAAATTTGTTATAAAAATACATTACAACATGTACACAATTGTTTCTTTTACATGAGCCTTGCTTTCCCAATTAGCAATATTTTCAGGTTAATGGCCTTACTAGATAAATACATAAATCATGCTGCCTGCCAAAACATGCACAGCCTATACTGAGGGAAACTGGCCTACTCCATTCCTGCTGAGGGATCAAGCTCAGATACTCTTTCTTTATTCCAATAATTCTGTCCTTTGCTCCTAGTTCACAGTTGATTGGGACAAGGGTGGGCATCCGAAGTATGGTATCCATTTCATATACTACTGGCAGCCTATACAAGGGTCTGGCATAGATAGCTCTAGCCAAGCAGGGATAAAATAGGTCAGAATCTCATTTTCAAAAATTTAGAACTATGGAAAGAATCAAACTATAGGTAGAAATATGGAAATATTTCCAGAAATATGGAATCAGACTGTAAGCAGAAATTTGGAAATATTCTCAAATGTGTAGAAAGAATCAGACAATAGGCAGGGGGCGTTGAAAGAACCAACAGAGGACAGATATGAAGTAGAATTAAGGAGTCTGAGCAAGTCAAAATTAAGAATAAGCTAAGGGGCGCCTGGGTGGCTCAGTCGGTTAAGTGCGTGCCTTCTACCTTCAGCTCAGGTCATGATCTCAGGGTCCTGGGATCCAGCCACATCAGGCTCCCGGCTTGGCGGGGAGTCTGCTTCTCCCTCTCCCTCTGCCCCTCCCACCCTCGTGCTTGTGCTCACGCATGCACTCTCTCTCAAATAAATACAATCTTAAAAAAAAAAGAATAAGCTAAAATAGTAAGGCAGAAAAAGAGGTAAGAAAACCAATGGGAAGTCGGAAAAGAGAAGACTAAGGGAGAAGAGCAGAATTATGTTTATGCAATAGATTTAGGTCCCTAAAGCTGCCTTTAGAACAACTCTTAAATTCCAATTTCTTTAAAGTTCAGTGCCATGATAATACCTGTGTTAGATTTCCAAAAGATTCCATTTCCCTTTTGGCCACAAGAATCCTTACAAGAATTCCCTAATTCTTTGGGTTAGCCTTTGTGAGGGTGGAATGAACACCACAGGGAAAGAGCGTACCCAGTCACAAAGGATTCCCTGGGGTCATTTATCACTCAAAACACTGGTAAGATTACAGATTGGATCCCACGTGGCATTCTTTACAATCCTATGTCATCACAATCTTCATCGGAGAATAAAAATCTTATCTGAAAAGAAACCCTTCCTCCAGAAATACTGAAACTTAATCACACTATGGAGACCCCCCCTTTATTGATTAATTCATTCAAACACTGTGTAACTACTACATTCAAGACAGAAAACAGAAAAACAATTAAGAAAAAGAAAGAGTCCTTCTTATAAAGCTTTTCTTCACCCAAAGGTTTTGTTTTTTTTTTTTTAAAGTAATCTGTATTTCCTAGCATGGACAGATGTGCAAAGATGACATATAAGAAAACAGCAGATTCTAGGACTACATGTGTGTATATTTATAATGATCCCATTTTTGTAAAACAAATAAATTCAATATATGTTTATATGTGCTTGGAAAAAAAGGCTGGAAAGATAAACACCAAACTGTTCACTCTAGAGACAGTGAAATATGTATATATTATATATACATGTGTGTATGATTTTTATAATAAAAAAAAGCAACTACCATCACTACCAAAACATCTCCACAAAGATGAAAAATACCTTTAGGAAATTAATATCTGTCAGACTAAACATAAAAGAATCTTGAGTCATAAAAAAATGGTAAGATTATTTTAACCTTTTTAAACAGTACTTATCTTTCTTCCTTATTTTTTACAGTATTTTAAAAAGGTGTAAATTAGCTCTGGCATAGGAGATAATACTCAAATAACAATAGTATTTTAATTAATACCAAAAAAGCAATGGATTTGAGAACGAAAGTTTCCCTCACAGTTTGATTTTGCAAGTTATGACTTTGGTCTAAACTAAATACAGTCAACTCTACATTATCTGCATAGTAAAAAGGAAGCACAGTTCTATAAATAATACAAAATAACTGCATGCCACATTTGCATTTAAATAAATCTCATTCAGATGGTCTTAAAGATCATAATATAAAATAGTGAAAACGTCCTTTAAAACATCCTACTACCCAATTTTCCTATCCAAGCAAACATTTTCCATACAAAAGATATAAGACTGATAACAAGCAAGCTTCTCTTAAAACTTGCTGATTATACTTAGGGCAGAGAATAATCCCAAATGACAATAAATCTGCAGACACAGACACTTGAAAGCTGCCCTACAAGGCTGATTTGTGAGGTGAAGAGTCTGAGCAAGTAAATATGCTTGGGGAGAAGGAAAGGTGAGTAGGGGAGAAAAACCAACGCTGGGTTAAGGGTGTCAAGTTGAGATACATCTGATGAGGAGATGGGTATATAAGGTAATGGTAGATGGAACGGCCAGGAGGGATGGCTTAGTAGCAAAGGTACCAGTTTGCAGGAAGGAATTTGAGACCTAGCTGGGGAGGGGATGGGTTATGGCAGAGTCACCAAAGAGCCTGCCAATTCATATTTCAGTGACTCAACCCACAGCTGAAAGAATCAGTTCTTTGTTCAGCATTTTACGGGGGGAATTATGGGATACAGTATTTGCAAATATGGTGACCTGTAAAGTCCTCAAGACACACTCTTCACAATTCTCATAGGTTGGCCAGTTGCCTAGTACACAGCAGAAACTCAGTTAAGCATCAGTCATGCAAAAGAATACATAAATAGATGGTGGAATCTCTGTTTAGGAATAATTACTTTAAATTAAAAAAAAAGTGACTTTTAATTTATACCAGGTTTGAGGAAAGATTTGTTCAGCCTTACATAAACTTTTAAAATAAAACAAATAAGACTTTCTTAGAATGGAGTCTGACTTAAATGGTAGGTTTAAGTAGCAACTGACCCCTAACCACCCAGCTCACCATAAGATATAAGGCTATGACTAGCCAAGTTCTCTTCAGCCTACAACCTAACTAGCTCTTAACTGGCAGAAACAGATTTAGGATGGAAACTCCTATAATCAGCTTTAGGATAGGGTCAACTTTAATACAGGTCAAAACTTAAGTTTTAAGGAAAAAGAACTATCAATCCCAATGTATTGGGTCAATGTAGACACTATGATCAATAATAAAAATTCTTAAATTTAAAAGTTGACAAGAATTTGGTAGCAGTGTTGATTACGGTCATCTCAAAGAAGTAGTTTCATTGGTATCAAATGTCTCACTACACTTTGGCAATCATCACTTTTGGTGTACCTTTTGCATACTCCAATGAAATGATCATAACTTATTTAAACAGTCCTAGAACCTATGGAATACTACACTCTTACTGCTTGTTACACAGCACATTTCCACTGAGCATCCAAACACATCACACACCCCAATAATTCTCAAATCTTACTAGAAGCAGTATGAGCTGCTCCATCTGCTCCAGGGAATTTTAATCCAAATCCCAAAGTTATGCCACCAAATGTTCCAGTCGAAGTTGCTGGAGCACCAACTGCAGAGAATAACATAATATTACCTTTTACACTTTAATTTAAAAACAGTGAGTAATTTAGATAGAGTTTCTTTGATCTGAAGAGTCCTTTAGAAACTTTTGGCTAAACTCCAAAAACCTACAGTCAATCCATTTATAAGAAATGTCCAGAAAAGGCAAATCTGTGAAGACAGAAAATATATTAGTAGTTGTCTGGGCCTGAGAGATCTTATTTGGATGACAAAAGTGTTCTAAAACTGGATTACAGTTTTAGTGGTAGTTACACAATTCAGTAATCTTATTAGAATCACTGAATTGTATACTTAAAATAAGTTAATTTTATATGTAAGTTTTACCTCATTAAAGTTAATTTGACAAATACTATGGGTGAGATTTCTTTTCATTTGGTAGTCAAGGACATCAAAGACAGGAATGAAAACAAGCCTTTCAAAGGTCAGAGGGCAAGTCTTTGATTGAAAATGGAATGCATTCAACAATTATAACTTCCAACCTCAGACGTGGTCATATTCACGAAATCTGTTGTTTGTAGTTGCTTACATATATCAAAAGGCTTCCAGAATCCCAGTCGTGTCTCAAAACTGGAAGTCTATTTGGTAGAAAATACAACTCAAGTGGTAACCAGCAATTTTAACTAATGTTTGCCTATTCCAGCTTCACAAGAGGATAGGGATAACAGACCATTGTTTTTTACCCTGAACTAGGCATGAGCAATTCCTGGCAAGTTTTATTCCCAGGAATGGTGACAATCTTGCTATAATAGGCCTGTGGGGGAACCATATTACAGCTAGGGTTACAATAACAAAGTCTAATGATAAATGTCATGGCACTGTGAAGATATCTCAAAAGCAGAGTCAGCTTATATTGACCTGTAAGAAAGAATTGCTCAACATTTGCTGTTATTATACTAATGGAAGATACATAGCAAAGAAGTTGGGGTTATAAGATAATTACTATCCCACTTCTCAGCTCAACGCATCCAGATGTTCCTCTTCAAGGAGAGAAGCCACAAGGCAATACACGGTGTCAATTAAGACCCCAAACTGGTCCTTTTGTCATCCATCACTTCCGATAGGTAAAATGTAAGGGCAACAAACCTGGTCTATCTAGAAGAAGACATGATAGCAAGGCTCCAACATTTAATTCCCATTTTATCTTATTCACATGGATAATAAGACTTCTTCCTGTCAGATATACTTGGCAAAACTCCCACTCTTCCTATTCCCATTAGCTTCAAGAAGTTGTTTCAAAACATTACAATGTTAATGAATTAAATGCTTAAAATTATCACTTTAAGCTGGAATAATCATGTTAACATAAAATTCACAGCTAAAGCCATGACAATTAGGTTCTTAAGCAAAGCTACTGTTGATAGCAGCAGTTACAGATGGGTTCAAGCATAATGATAATTTATGAGATGCAAGAGATCCATAGCTTATATTGGCAAATTGAGTTAAGTGGCCTGATGCGAAATAATGGTATTTTCTTTGCAACCAGTAACTTACAAGAGAGCCCAGTAGCAGCAGAAGTAGAAGCGTTTGACATTGAAGTAAACAGCATGGTGCTTGAACAAGTAGTGGCGTCAGCAGTCGATGCTGAAGCCAAACCTAAAAATCAAAGTAACAAGCAGAAAAATATGTCACCAAAGAACAATTTTTTAAAAATAAAACACCATTATAACAAGGTTCATTTATATAGAGAAATTGAAACAAAGCAAGGAAAATCAGATACACTGAGATCTAACAAATAAAACATAATAAAAGCCTGATTTTAAAAAAATAGTTTATCAGTACTGCTTAGTGTAGTCAGGCTTCTAGCACCATCATAACAAAGAAATTCTACTTTACTGAAAAGGTAACGTAAAAGGGGGATCTACTTCTAGAACTGCAGCATAAGAAGTCCTGGGGACCTATTCCCCAGTGAAACAACCATAACTGGTATAGAAAACAATCTGAAATCTCAGGAAATAGTCCAAAATATATACAGCAAATAAAGAACATTTATTCAAGAAAATCTGCTGAGACTCGTTATACCAATGAGAGTCTAGCATATGAACCACAACCCACTCCCTTCATTCCCTCTATCCCCCTGCTCACCTTGAAGGAAGCCACACTCCAGGCCAGAGTGGCCAATAATACTGGCCCCAGCCCCCAACCAAGGGATACAGTATTTCATTGGGAAAGGCAAGCAGCCAGCAAATCACCTCCAACACATAGTGTTAATGAGTTGAAATTCCTGGTGAGTACAGCCAAGAGTTGAGGGACTCCCTTCCTTTAGTCAGCCCTCATTCATAGGGCAGAGGCTCTACACCAGGCCCAACAGGTTAAGAATATGGGGGCCCCATCACCCCTACCCTGACTTCCTTGTCCCAGCTCACTTATAGGGCTGAGGTTCCATGCCTGAAGCAATAAGCAAAAGGGTCAGAGGAAACTAGCCCTATACAGCACCCACAGCACTGTTTCAAAGGTTTTGCCCAGGGGTAAAGGAGGCCCATAAAAACAGAGAGCTCCCAAGCTATACCCAAAAGTATTGCCTTTTTTGAAAAGGAGTGTGAGGAAATTCAAGCCAAAGGACTCTCTCTCAAAAAAAAAAAAAAATGGAGATTTTGGTGCTAAGCAATTAAAAGGAAGCAAGTAGTTTCATGAGAGTAAAAGTTTAGGCTGTAGGCCAGCTAGTTTACCAGGGGTAACTAGGGAAAGAGGAAGTTGAAGAGTCCTCCTCCTGAGATCAGAAGAATCAAGTACTCATACATGCTACACCCTGCATGAATCTTGAAAATATACCCTAAATGAAAAGCCAGACACAAAAGGCTACATATTGTATGATTCAATTTATATGAAATGTCCAGAATATGTCCAGAATAGGCAAATCCATAGACAGATTAGTGGATGCTAGGAGCTGGGAGGAGGGGGTAATAGAGAGTGACTGCCAATGGGTACCAGGTTTCTTTTGGGGGTGATGAAAATATTCTGGAATTATATAGTGGTTATGGTTGCACACTCTGTGAATACTTTTTAAAAAACACTGAATTGCGGGCGCCTGGGTGGCTCAGTCATTAAGCGTCTGCCTTCAGCTCAGGTCATGATCCCAGAGTCCTGGGATCGAGTCCCACATCGGGCTCCCTGCTCAGCGGGAGACCTGCTTCTCCCTCTCCCACTCCCCCTGCTTGTGTTCCTGCTCTCGCTGTGTCTCTCTCTGTCAAATAAATAAATAAAATCTTTAAAAAAAAAAACACTGAATTGCACATTTTAAAAGGGTGAATTTTAAGATATGTGATTTATACATCGATTATGATATTATGTGAAAAAAACAGGATCATCTCAATAGAAGTAGAAAAAGGATTTGAGAAAATTGAACACAGCTTCATGATGAAAATGCTCAACAAACTATGAAGAGAAGGGAATGTCTTCAACATGATAAAGGGTATTTATGAAAAACCCACAGCTAACGTCGTATTTAATGGTGAAAGACTGCATACTCTCCCACTATCATCAAGAACAAATCAAGGATGTCTGCTCTTCCCAACAATACATTGGAAGTTCTAACCAGAACAATTAGGCAAGAAAACAAAATAAATGGCATCCAGGTCAAAAAGGAAGAAATAAACTTATTTCTATTCACAGGTGACTTGATCATGAATACAGAAAACTCTAAGGGAGCCACAAAAAAAAAAATCTATTAGAACATTAAACAAGTTCAGCAAATTTGCAGGATTCAAGATCAACACAGAAAAATGAATTACAATTCTATATGCTAGCAATGAACAACCCACAAATGAAATTAAGAACATCATTCCACTAATAATTGCTCAAAAAATACTTAGGAGCAAATCTAACAAAAGAAGTGCAAGACTTATACCCAGGAAAATATAAAACATCACTACAAGAAATTAAACACATCCTAAATAAATGGAAAGATCTCATGTTTGTGGATCAGGAGATTTAGTATTGTTAAGATGGTATGGTAGACAGAAAAATGGTCCCCAAAGATAGCTGCCTCCTAATACCCAGAGCCTGCAAACATATTACCTTACTTGACAAAAAGGCCTTTACAGATGTGATTAAGGTTCAGTACCTTGAGATAGGGAGATTATCCTGGATTATCCAGGTAAGCAAAATCTAATGACGTAAATCCTTAAAAGTAGAGATTCTTTCTAGGCTGTGGCCAGAGGGAGAGGCGACTGCAAAAGAATGGTCAGAAAGATGCCAAGTTGCTAATACGAATGGCCATCTAACACATGAAAACAAACTCAATGTCATTAGTCATTAGGGAATTGAAAATCAAAACCACAATGAGAGTCCACTTCATACCGACTCAGATGGCTATAATCAAAAAGCCAGATAATATCAAGTGTTGGTGAGGATGTGGAGAAATTGGGGAGCTCATACAAGGCTAATGGGCATGTAAGATGGTATAGCCACTTTGGAAAACCGTCTGACACTTCCTCAATGTGTTAAACATAGAGTTACTGTATGACCCAGTAATTCTACTCCTAGGTATCTACACAAGAAAAATTAAAACATATATCTGCACAAAAACATGTGCGTGAATGTTCATAGGAGCATTACTTATAACAGGCAAAAGGTAGAAACAACCCAAATGAACACTGACTGATGAATGGATAAATAAAATGTGGTATATCCATACAATGGAATTTTATTTGGCCATAACAAGGAAAAGCAGCACTGATATATGCTAAAACATGGCTGAGCCCTTAAAAACATTACACGGAGTGAGAGAAGTTAATCACAAAAGAGCACATATTTTATGACTCCTTTTATATGATGTGTCCAGAATAGGGGAATCTAGAGCCAGAAAGCAGTTTCTTGGTTGTCAGGGACTGACTGGGGCAGGGAGGAATGGACAGTGACTGCTAATGGGTATGGAGTTTCCTTTGAGGGTGATGAAAATATTCTAAAATTGACTGCAGTAATGACTGCACAACTCAGTGAATATACTAAAAACCCAATTAATTGTACATTTTAAATGGATAAATTATATGGTAGGTGAATTACATAATAATAAAACTAAAAAAATAATAAATAGAAGTCTGGGATAAAGTTTCAGAAAACAGATTACCTGCCTCTTGCTTTAAAATTTCAAATAAAGAGTATATAAAAAATAAAGCTAAAGAAATGAAGTACATAAAGACACAAACAAGATGCATTGGTTAACTGAAAACAAAGTTTATCTTTTCATCCTCATTATAGATCATTGTAAATGGCACATGGTAATAAGTGCTCAGTGAAAGTTTCTGCTGAATTGAACCTACTTTTTCCAGACTCCAATACATAATGACATTCTATTTCCTCTTCAAAAGGAAAAACGTACTTAATAAGTAACTGCACTTGAATCTGTTGCTGCCTACATCCAACTGCTGAACAACTCTTGGCAATATATAATGTAAGATTCTGCTACCCAAAAGATCTAGGGCCACTGAGGGTGAGGGGGATAGGGAGATGCTGGGAAGGAATTTGGAACACTACTATATACCTTCAACTATCTAAAATGTGTATTGTGGAATATCCCTATGTTTCATCTAGAAGAAGCACCACATGTAGTATACTTTTAAAGAGATGATCAGTTTTACAGCAAAGGTGTTCTAATATTTATAATTCATTACCAACAGGTGAGGCTAAATTTTTACTATGGGTTTAACGGCTACTTTAATTTCCTCATCCGAAATTGCCTATTTATGTCATCTGCTGATTTTCTCACTAGAGTATTGTCTTACTATTGAAGTGTATATCAAGGCTATTTAGTCAAATGTTGTGGGGTGCCTGGGTGGCTCAGTTGGTTGAGTGACCACTCTTGATTTCAGCTCAGGTCATGATCTCAGGGTTGTGAGATCGAGCCCTATCAGGCTCATGCTAGGTGTGGAGCCTGCTTATAATTCTCTCTCCCCCTCTCCCTCTGCTGGCCCTCCTCCCTCCCTGCTCTCTGAAAAAAATGTTGCAAAAACATCCCACCTCCAGTTTGTCATTTGTTTTTTTTATTTTGGTTTTATTTTTTATGTAGTCAAATCTTTCCATCATTTTTTTTCCTTTATGGTTTATGTCTCCATAATATGTTTCAAAAGCCTTCCCCTCTTAAATATATAAAAGGTATTCAACCTCATTTTTAGGAAAAAGTCACAAATTATAACTATACTGAGAACAATTTCACCAAACAGATGGGAAGAAATAAAAAACTAGTAACACACTCCATTAAGGACACCGTGAACAAACAAGCAGCCTCTGAGGGTCCTAATGGGAGTGTAAATTGGGTATAGTCCCTCTAGAAAACAAGTGCTGATGTTTGAAAAATTCCAAGTGAACCTATCTTTTGAACCAGTAATATTTCTTCTCAAAATTTATCCACAAAGATGTACTTGCACACCTGTAAAATGACATGTAAAATGAGAGCCATGACATCACTGTTTGTACTAACAAATGAGGAAACACCTAAATGCCCACCAGCAAGGGACTAGATAAATTATAGCACATCTAGACCATGGAATTCTATGATGCTACAAAAAAATACTGAGGGAGCTGGCTATATACTGATTGATGTGAAAAGATCTCCAAAATGTTTAAAGTAAGCGTGTAAGGTTTGTGAGTTTAAAAAGCAAGGTACAGAGCACTGTGTATACTATCACTTATGTAAAAAAAAAAATAAAGGTAGAGGGCTAAGAATATTTTTTTTTTTATTTGCTAGTAAATCCATGAAGAAACTCTGGAAGGATACATACAATTACAGTGGTCAGCTGAATGGAGGGGGTGGAGCAGGTAGGGGTAATACAGGGTAGATGGGGGACAGTATACCCATGTATAGTCTAATTTTTGAACCATCTGACTGAATATATTACAAATTTTTAAATTATACATAAGTAAAGGTCCTTTCCCCAACCCAAGATATATTATTTACATATTTTCATATTTACCTGTGCTTTTTAAATGTTTATGGCTTCATTTTCTACCTTTAATTCACCCATATTTCTTTTGGTTGATCTTGTTAAAAAACAAAACTCAATGGAGTAAATTTGAAGATCTAACTGGCTTTATTAAAGAATTCATGAATCCGGAAGCATCCCATCTAGCAAGTAGAGGGGAGCTCATAAGAATTATACAAAAATGGAAGGTTTTTATAGGTAGGAAGGTGGGGCAAGAAAGTTATAAGCAAAAGAAAGAATTGTTTCAGGCAAGATCACCTTCTCTTGGGGGAAGGGCAGAGAATCTTATTATGCAGATGACCTCATCTTCTTTTGGGGGATGGAGAGGGCCCATGTGACAGATTACCTCATTGGTGCTTATCAGAAAATTCCTGACCGACCAGTTAAGACTTACATTTCTGGGGGAGGTTGAAACTGCAGTTAGATTAGGTATTAAGCCCTAGTGTACTGACTTGGGGGCCTTAACCTAAATAATACCATTTTGGACCCATGGTTTTCTTTTTAATGATCTTCTTAGGCAAAAATTCATCCCCTTTCCCCCAAATCAGCTGGTTAGCCAGCCACTGCAATTCATTTACTCACTACCCCATCCTCTCTCCCCACAGATTTGAAATGCCATCTTCACAGACCCAGGTTTGTTTCTGTACTTTAAAATTTTTCTATCACTGTTCTGCAAGAAAGTTTCAATTATTATAGCACTAGAATTCATGTGCTCTTATATTATACAATATTTTAAAGGAAGAGAATAAAGTTAACATACATTTTCATGTATTTTCCTACAAGTACTCCATCATTACTTTCCTTAAAAAACAAGAGAGTTGAGGGGTGCCTGGGTAGCTCAGTCGGTTAAGCGACCAACTCTTGACTTTGGCTCAGGTCATGATCTCAGGGTCATGAGATGGGGCCCCCACACTGGTCTCTGGGCTGGGCTAGGTGTGGATCCTGCTTAAGATTTCTCTCTCTCCCACTGCCCCTTGCCACCTTGCTCGAGTGCACTTTCTCTCTCTGGGCGGGGGGAAGAATTGACTAGTCTCATGCATTTATTCCCCCATTTAAACTTTCGACTCAACTATAGTCAAGTCCCTCTTTTCCTTTCCTTCCTCAAAAAAAATTCCATTTTAAAAAAACAAGCCCAATTTGGGAGTCATTTGTCCCCCACCACAGGGAACCACAACTTAATTACAGTTTCAATCTATTCCAGAAATGTGACCTTTCAAAAATCAATCTGAAATTTCCTGATCAGCACCAGGGAGGTAATCTGCATGATAAAAAAAAAAAAAACCCTGCTGTTCCCTTCCACCCAAAAGATGTCTGGCCAGAAACAATCCTTTCTTTTCTTTTGCTAATAACTTCTTGCCCCACCCTCCTTCCCATAAAAACCTTCCATTTTGTACAATTCCTCAGACCATATCTCTACTTGCTAGATGGGATGCTGCCCAATTCATGAATCACTTAAAAAGCCAATTAGATCTTCAAATTTACTCAGTTGAATTTTGTTTTTTAACAATTCCCATTGTGATTTTATAAGAATTACATTAAATGTGTAGGTTAATGTGGAGATAAATGACATTCTTGTATATTGAGTCTGCACATTTAGTGGGTGTCTTCATTTATTCATGTCTCCTATTATATTCCTCAGTAGAATTTTGGAGTTATCTTCCTTTAGGTCATGCACATTTTAAAAGTTTAATGCTAGGCACTTTGAATTTTTGGTTGAAATTGTTAATGGGACCTTTTTCCATTATATATATTTACCAACTACTATTGCTTAAACATGGGAACGCTATTGATTTTTGTATTTATAACTGGCCATATTATCGAAACTTCTTCACTAGTGCTAATTGAATTTGCACTTGATTTATGCCCATATTTTAAAAATCCTGATCATTTGTCTAGGGTACTGGCATAATTTCAGGGCCTGACCTTAAATCACATATGCAGAGGTAAACAAGGAAGCAAATGCCATTTAATATGATTTGCTTTTAAGTTAAAGGAGTCTTACTCTGAAATAAGAAAGGATTTAAGAGTCTTATTTTCCTAATCATAGAACTAGAGCAGGGTTTTTCAACATTTGGGGCAAGGTAATTCTTTGTTGTGGAGGACTAGCCCATGCTGGGATATAATAAGAAATGCATATTTGGTCTGTGTCCCCTTTCCTGGACAAATCCTGAAACACTTGTAATTTCCTAAAGTGATAGAAGTGTTATGGACATCTTTTGTTATAATTTTTGGTTTTTGTCCCCAGTTCCTGAAATAGCTCCAGGAGCAATAAAGGTGAAAGAAGCCTCTGATCATTTATAACAAGCCCTTAACAACCACACCTGATTTATGTTAATAAGGTGAAATTTAAAGCGCCCTTAAAAATGAGCACTGGTTACCAGAGGGACCAACCAAGTGATGACAGGGTTAGAACTTTTACCCCACCCTCTGACCTCTGGGAATGGGAGGGGCTGAAGATCGAGTTCAATTACCACTGGCCGATGATTTAATCAATCATGCCTACATAATAGAACCTCCATCAATACCCTAAATGAAGGGGTTTGGAGAACTTCTGGGTTGGTGAACACATGGAGGTGCTAAAGGGTGACCACGCCTGGAGAAGACATGGAAGATCTGGGCCGCTCCACCAAACCTTGCCCTATGCATCTCTTCCATTTGGTTGTTCCTAAGTTGTATCATTTATAATAGACCGGTAATTGTAAGTAAAGTGTTTTCCAGAGTTCTCTGAGCTGTTCTAGCAAATTATTGGCCCAAGGAGGGGGTCATGGGAACCTCCAACTTCTAAGCAGTTGGTCAGAAGTACAAGTGACAACCTGGGACTCACAATTGGTATCTGAAGCAGTGGATAGTCTTGTGGGACTGAGCCCTTAAAATGTGGTAACTCCAGGTAATAAGCATCATAACTGAATGTAGGAAACCGAAACCAGCTGGTGTCCAGGGTTAGAGAACTGGTTGGTGTGGGAAGAACCCCCCATATTTGGTGTCAGAGGTATTGAATGTAGGGGACACAAGGTTTTCTTCTATGTGCACTGCAGGTTATTTTGCCTTGGGAAACTGAATAAAGGAAACCTCATTTAAAATGGGGTTGGGAGGCCAGAAGGGGGAGCTCTCACACCATACCACTTGTTGCAGCCTTCTGCAGGCCCAAAAGGAAAAGAAAAAGAAAAACAAAAACAAAAACAAAACTATTTTACTACCCCAGCAGGAAGATTTTCTCCTGGCTCAGCAACCGCCCGGCCAATGAGACACTGTCACAACTCAGCCAATGAAAAGCCACTACACTTCAAACTCCCAATTTACTCCAATGGACTTTTTGTTTACAACAGCCCCTACCAACTCCCTCTTTTCCTCTATAAAAGAGCTTTCTTCTCTTTTGTTCTCCAGACTTGCCTGTGGCTTTGTCACAGCTTGCTTGTCCCAAATTGCAATTGCTCTGCTATTCAAACCCATTTTGCTAGCAAAATAACTGGCTGTTTTATTTTCAAGGTCAAAAGCAGCATCCCCAGGCTCTACCCACTAGGGGCCAGTAGTACCTCCCCAGTCTCAACAACGACATTGCCAAATATCCTCTAGGAGAGGGGGCAAAATCATCTTCAGTTCAGAACCACTGGACTAGAGGAAGGGTTCAATGTAATTTTCTCCATCCAGTGCTAGAAGGATACCCAAATCAGCTTTAATTCCTTGATGTTTAAGAACATAAGAAAATGCCAACCATTTTAAAGATTTCATTTATTTATTTATTTGAAAGACATGAGCAGGGTGGGTGGGCAGGGGCAGAGGGACAAGCAGACTCCCTGCTGAGTGGGGAGCCCAACGTGGGGCTCAGTCCCAGGACCCCGAGATCATGACCTGAGCCAAAGTCAGACAGTTAACTGCCTGAGCCACCCAGGCACCCCGCCAACTATTTTAATAAATTGTTGGCCCTAGAAAATAACTATGAATTTTTTAAATAGGATTGGGAAAGGTGGTCCTATACTACAAGATAGTGGGGCATGCTACAATAACTAATATGGTGATATCAGAACAATAAAGGGCAGATCAATAGAACAGAATAGGAAGTCCAGAAGCAGAACTAATCATATACAATAATTTGCTGTATGTGGAAGGCAGCATCTCAAATCAATAGAAAAAGAATGGCTATTTAATGAAATATAATGGTTTTACTCACTAATCCTTTAGAAAAAAATGATTCCTAAAAATATAAACCATAATAGAAGTACAAAAAGAATTAAGAATCTTGAGATGGAAAAGGCCTATTTGTCCAGAGAGAGGGAAACTCAGAATAAGAGATGTGATAATATAAAAATTAAATTAAGGACTTCCAGGAAAATGGGATACATGTACTTTTCCTTATTCAAATAAAACCCTTATTCAACTAAAACATTATATATAAAACAAACCTAAGAAGACCCTGAAAAGTGGTGAGAAGAAGGCAAACCAGATAGGG